CCTGAACTCAGGTGATCTGTCCACCTCAGCCTCCCAAAGTGCTGGGATTACAGGTGTGAGCCACTGTGCCTGACCTGTTTGTTTTTAATGCAAGATACTATCTCTAGTGCCTGCAGACATAGGATTCTGATAGGCAGAGAAGTGGTGGAGAAATATTCTAGCCTACACACATAATAGTACATTGGAATGGGACCCTGAGTTGGGTAATCACTCTGAAGTAACTGGAACCAGGTTCCTAAGGGAAAGGGTTCTAGAGGTAGCATTGGGTCAATCCATGAAGGAAATTGAGTGTAATCTTAAGGGATAAATAGAGATAGCAAATTTTCCCATGCCTTTAATTTTATCTATCATTTTCTTTAGTGTCCCTATCCCACCTTTATTTTCTCCATCCTTTGGATAAGTTCCTGGACATGGTTTATTTTTGTGGTTGGATTATATGATAATGTATATCTTTTAGCAAATTATTCAAATACTATTTTGGGCTCCTGGGAGTGCCAAAATCTAATTAGATCTGCCACATTTTTTTTTTCCTGCAAAAATGTATATTACAAAGGTTGTTTTTACCCTATAAAAATGTGTGATTTTCCATAGCTAATAGAAGAGAACCTACGTTTAAGAACCTACACTGATAACCAATTAGTTCTGAGATTTATGTGTGTATAAACATAGTTCATATGATGTATATACATTAATGTGTTTGCTACGGAAAAAACATATGTCATAGTGTACATTTTTCCATTTAAATCATAGTTTAAAATATATACACCATTCGATTGATTATCCTGATTCTTCTTTTGCCAGCCTTCCCATTGCATGAAAACCATTTATGACAGTGTTTGATTTAATTGAACCCACTTCTAAGAGAATGCGTGTTTTAATTTAAATTGTTGGGTATTTTCCCCCTGAATCTGAAGGCGGTTGGACTGATTTGCATTTCTTTCAGTTCAGAGTGTTGAGGGTAATATATTATGAAACATCTTTTTTCTTGATATGTATGCACATTAGTTTTCATTATTTCTATTTTAATTAATATCACAGATCATAGTTAGCACAGAGTTTTGTGCAAGGGGTATCCTCGAAACATTTTTAGTAAAATTATCAGGCACACTAAATAGAAAATAAAAGACAAAACTGGAGGAAAAGGGGAATTAAGATAGGCAAAGAAGAGATTCTAAGTTTTGTATTTTCTTAAGCAGAGTAGGTATTCTGAACACAAATGTTTTAGAAGAGAATAAAGAACTCTAATAATTTTATGAGTTAAGAAGCATTTTGCATTTTTGCATGGGTAGCTAAAATATAGGTGTAGGACTTTAGATATTTATTTATTTTTCTATTATTCATTGGGAACCTGTATTGTAAGAGTTTGGGATACATCAGTATTTAAAACAAAAATACTTGTTCTTGTAGGTCTTATATTTAACATTTACTAGAAAAATATCATGCAAACCTTCTTATTCTATAAGTTTATTAAAAAATGAGCATGTATATTAATACATGTTTGTCTCACACATGTAATATTTTCACTTTTATATCTGAAGCTATTATATGCATTTAGGATAAGGTTTCATTTTTTATCATGGTAACTATATTTCAGATTGTCTTTACATTTTCAAACTCCTTTGGCTAATTTCATGTTAGATTTCAATAGATCATCATTTGTTTTGTTACTAGTTTCTGTACTTGTTTTTAACCACAAAATCCATATAAGAGAAAAGTCTCATCTTTGTTATTTGTTTAGTGTTTATTTTTGCTTATTTTATTAGTATCATGTCTAATCCTTATTATCTCTACGGGATTTCCCCACCTAAACTATTCTAACTTTAGTTAAACTAGATAATATAACATAAATCTACTTAACCCGGAACACATAAATTGCTACAAATTCACCTATGATACCATAAAATTACCATAAAATTGTCCAAAGGAAGAATTTGACCTCATCTGAGGTTTCAAGAAAGTGCCCTTGAAGAGATGGACGTGTTGATAGAACCAGAGTGGGGAGGAGGAAAAGGAGGCAGTTATGCAAAGGTGTGTGCCTGTGGGTGCATGCCTATACAGATGTGCAAAGGGGCATTCTAGTGCAGGTGACCACATTTGAGATAGATAAGGTTAAGGGAACAGGATAGATATGGGAAATTATGGAATATCTGTAGGTAACCCACAGTGAATCAGGTGAGGCTACTTGCAGGGGATGGGTAAGGGCTATAGTGAGCAGAGCCATCAGATAAGATAGGGCCTTACTGCACTTAGGTGCATATGTAACTCAGTGGACAGTGAAGAGTCACTGCATATTTCCAGATCTGAGGGATTTGAACAGGAAAACTGCAGGTGGGAAGACGACCTAAGAGAGGTAATGAGGGGCTGGCAGTAAAAACAGAAAAAAAGAAAAAGAGTGAGAGACACTGTGAAGATGCATCAAAAGGAACTGAGCAACTCATTTGTTTTAAACGTATGGTACTGAACTAGCAATTTTGGTAAGGTTTTAATGGGGCAGAGATGTATTGGAAATGTGGCCAATGGAAAAGTGGGATGGATCCGAGAAGAGGTTTTTCAAGATCTTTGATCCTTTCTAACCTTTGTGTTGCTTTGTAATCACAAATTCAGTTCTGGCTAGCAGGATTTGGGTTTAGACACAGTGGTGGTTAATCTTCAAGATACAAGTTGGTTTTGGTTTTTTAAACAGATTGAGTTGCATTTTATTTTTAGTGTTGAAGATATTTTAGTTCAATTATTCCACTTGTAGAGGCTGCATCAGGTAGCCGTTAAGTGGGCAGGGTCCAGAGCCGAGTGATCAGATTCCAGCTGTTGACTTACTGGTTATGTGCCTTTTGTCATATTATTACTATCAATTGCTCTGTGTCTCGATTTCTTCATCCTCTAAGTGGGCTTCTATTAAGTAAGGTAATGGTGAGGATCCAAGAATTAAAAATAGAATGTGCTTCTAACAATGCCTGGCACCTGAGAAGAATAAAATCAATGGCGTTATGATTTCTAAAAAGGAAAAACATCAAATGGTATGCAACCAGATGAATCAAAATCAATTTGGTTGTATTTTCTTGAAGTTAAAGGAGAAAAACATAATTTTACATTTTATTTGTGCTCCCTCATCCAAAATGAGGCATAATCCCAAAGGATTCTCTTTGTGTAAGCGTGAGGGTGCATGTGAGTGGGTGGGTGGGTGGCTTCTCACTGCCTCACCTGATCTAGTTAATTCTACTCCAGAAGACATAGTAGCTCAAATAGAAGATTGCTTAGGAATAAGTGATGTCAGAACATAAAGGTTTTACAGAAAAATCGTCAATCACTAATATTCTCAGTATTTTTTCTTGACAAGAGAATAATAAAAAATTCTCTTTTTCACAGTTTTTACTCTTTTTGCTTTTGTTCTCTTCTTTTCCATGCTACGTATTTTCAGGGAAGAGCATAAATAAAATACAGCAAAGCTAAGAAAGAAGTCTTTAGTACTTAGCCCAGTCGCACAACAGTATTTTTTTTCCACTAGTGCATATCTTAGAATTATGTGATTTGGGAAGTTATATGCTACAGAGTAAGGAATATATGTAACACAATCCAATAATCACTTAGAAATTTATTTTTTAAATCCTACTCTTTAAAAAGCTTTCATATTCTAATATGGCTAGTCACACTGACGTTGTGATGCTCTGCTGTTCATGCACTCTTTTCCAAAAGGATTTGTCCAATCTTATACCATCTATGAAGCAAGTCTATGTACAATGGAGTCATGTCTCAAATGATCAGTTTTAAAAGATGTGCATAGAAATAGATATTGAAATTCTTTGTAATTTCTTGAGGACTAATAAAGAGCTTAAGGATAGCTCTCAAAAAAATTTTTTTTGTCTTCAGCTATTTGCAAGACCACAATTTTTCTATCGATTACAAGGTGCTAGGTTTCATTACTCAGTAACGTCCGAGTGTTTTGACAGCCGGGTTGTGTTAGCATGGCCCATTCAGCTGTTGCGGAGAGATGCCAGTTGCCATGGTGAAGATTATGATGTCCCACATCCAATCTATCCCTGAGATGGGGATGGCTTTTGCAAAACCATATGCAAATATTTGTTTTCAAAGGTACAACTGACTCTTTGTGAAGCACTGGATTACTAGAGTGGATGTCTTTTCAATTTATCATCAAACGAGGATCTATTACCGCATGATTTCCCTTTTTGTTTAAATAAACTTCCACTGCCCTCTATCTCAATGTCCATTGACAAAGAATCAGATTTCATATTGTACAATTTGACTGTCCTTTTTAGTTACACAAGTTAATGAGTTTATCTGTTTAACTTGTCTAATTTCTCTATTCGATTGCCTCAGAGCTGACCTCATATACATGGGTTTGTTGTGTTTCCCCTGAGCTCACAAGTAGAGTTCTCCATTTTCCTGTGGTTAATGTCTAAGCAGCACAGATACTTCCGTGGAAATAACAATGACCCTTTGAACATCCAGGGGTGTTCTCTGAATTGGGGCTTTTCCTAAGAATTTGTATCAAATGTTAGTATGAATGTTTTTAAAATATAGGTATTTTTTGTTTTGTTTGTTTTTAATTTCGGAAATACTTGTCAACTTAAGTAAAAGGAGAACTTCATTAAAAAACCTTTTAATAAAATCTCTGAGAGTCACCAGTTTGCAAAACTCTTATAACTGCCGTCATGAGTGCTAATATGGGTTATATTAATTAGTTTATCGTTTAAACTAATAATTAAACTGACAGCTTAATTAGTTTAATAGTTTTCATTAATAATTTAAATATGCATATACTAGTTTTATAAAATGCCTGTTTCTGTGGCTTACTACTGCACTTCCTTTACCTTCTATAAACAGAATACTGCAGGTTTGATAAAACACAGAAGAATCTGAGAGACAAAATAAAATGTGCTACTTGTATAACATGTCCTCTTCTGTAAAAAGAAAGAGAAACAGAAAAGTAAAAGGAAACTTGGTGACACATTGTGAGGCTTATGATAACTATGTTTGCCTTTCAGATCCCCAGCTCAAGGGTATAGTGACCAGGTTATATTGCAGGCAAGGCTACTACTTGCAAATGCACCCCGATGGAGCTCTCGATGGAACCAAGGATGACAGCACTAATTCTAGTAAGTGACAACCTCAGGCCACCAGTTATACAGTTGGTAGAAGATACACTGCTACTTAAGTGATTTTAAGATTCATTTGCAAATTTTTGGTCATGTTGGTTCATCTTTACAAATGTTACATGCTAGAATACCATTTACAATTTTATTTAAACTACGTGGATGAAAATATTAATGGAACAACCAAAGAAAACTGTGGTTTGAAGATGATTATGTTACTATTTTTGTTTTTTATTCCAACAGTTGTCATACCCAGAAAAGTATTATTACTTTTAGTCTTATTATTATAAAAGTTAAGTAAGCACACTAGTGTATATAGGTAAAAATTAATTACATGTTTTCATTGGATGTATTATTTTATCAGGCTCTGAGGTTCTTAATGATGCCTGTGGAAACTCAAAATCTACAAGGAATAGTTTTGTTTTGTTTTGTTTTGTTTTGTTTTACATAGTAGAATTTAAAATTATTTGCATTTAACAAAAAAAAACTTATAGAAAAAACATGAAGGTTGTGTACTTTGAAATTCATTGTGCAAAGTGTTTAACTACTTTATAGAATTGCATCTGTGATAATTTTTAATTAAAAAGCTACACATCTTCCATTGTATTAATGTCTGTTCTTTTTCCTATTTCTTTATGTGTAACATTTCTCCGTCTGGTGCCTCTCCTTGCTCAACTGTCTGTGTTTTGCTCTCCCATTTTCTGTTTATATTGGCATTTGATTCATTTTTAATTTAGCATATTAGTTCCAAAATAAGCATACTTTTTACTGTTTGGGGGAGTTAGTGAAAAGCAAAACAGTTTTTATTAGAAATATTTAATCATAAGAAACATTACTGGTGGATCAAAAGTAGATATGAATTTTTTCATTAATGTATCTCTTATTCTTCACACATAAACATCATTCCATGAAAAGAAGTGAGGATTTGAAAAATACACATAATCAAATCAGAAGGTGCTTCCTTTTTTATTTATTTTTATTTTATTTTATATATTTTTCTCAGCTCAATTTAAAATTCAGCACTTCCTTTTTTAAATTCTAGTGATCAAATTGCCAGTAACACTGATTCTGACAGTAGTTAGTGATACAAAATAGATTATTTTTACATGTAATTTTGTCATGTGAAATATTATTTTTCCAGCCGTTGTGTTTACTTTTTATATTTTGTGCATTGCTTCATTTTTTATTTTTTCTTCAATTCCTTTCTAATTTTTGTGTTTATCTACATTGTCCTCATCAATTCCTAACCTCTTTACTCTCTTTGTGTCTCGTTATCACCTTTTTTATTTTAAAATTTTTCCCTTTTATGTTTATTGGTTTACTTTTACTTTATTTCCTTTTTGATATAGGAAAAGAGAAGGTAAAACAATTCAACTGCAAAAGAAAGGGGAGGCATTTTATGCCAAACATTATTTGTGCAGGTTTTGTTATTAGTTTGGACTTTCAGAGATAATTGGTACTTGACAATCTTTGACCAGCAAAAGATGTCAGTTTCTTGTGGTTCAGGCTAATACATGTATCTCTGCTCAGTTTCTTTTCCTCTTTAACTCCTTTGGCTGACAGAAACCATTTGCTGACAACAACCATTTCCTTTCTCTTATGTGTTACTGTTGTGTAGGTCACAACGTTTAGGGATTCATAATTTCTGATGTCTTCAGTGTTCTCAAATTTTGTTTGGCCTGGGAGGATTAGAACGTGATGACTGGATTCCCATAACTCTGCTCGCTAGATGAGCTATGACACTCTGGAAGATTCCTCAGACTAAAGACTGATGCCATCCATTGTATGACAAAAGTTTTCAAGACAGGACATACACCATAGCTTCCTAAACATACTGCTTTATTGGACTACCTGAAAATAATTTCACTCAAAGGTTTTATGTGTTTCTTCTATAGCTTTTTTTCTTTGTGTAATTTTTGTAGTGCCAGCCAAATTGGTTACCTGTAATGATAGGGATCAATATCATTTTGAGAAGTGTCTATTAGACGTTGCCTTTTAAAAGTCATACTGCTTCAGAATTGAATAAGCACTTTCTAAATATGGAAGTGCAGATTTATTATGTGCACACATACAAGTCTGGTTATCTGAATAATTTTAAAGACTAAACTGGAAAGCTGAGACACTAAAAAACACTCCACCTTCTGTTCTGTAAATGTATGGGGATTTTTTTCCTTCTGTATCTGCAGTAGAAAGAGCAAAAACTCAGAACGAATCTTGAAATTTCTTCTGACACTCTAAATGCTAGTGAGACACAGTCCTGAGAAGGAAGATGAAACAGGATCTCCTTTGTAAAAACAAATCAGAAGAAAATCATGCTCATACTCAAGGGGCTCAAATTCCTATGCAAAGTTCTGGTTCACAGCTTTTCTGAGACATTATATTGCATTTCAAGTGCACTGTAGGCTAGTTAGTTTAGTTTTGTTACTATTTCAACATTTGCAAAGAAATAAAGAAAAACAGTGGGTAAAATCAATGTTCCCTCCTCAAAATGTTCTACAAATTACATGACTATAAAATTTAATACAATTTGCAGAATCTTAGCAGATTTATAAAAGTAATGGAAATTACTAATTAACTTTATTTTTATGTCCTCTGACCTATGTAAATTGCAAAACGGTGTTTCTTAGGATGAATTTAAAGACATTTTCTTTTCTCTGGTTCATTTCAGTAGTCTCATGATTCTTATGAAAAATGTAAGCACTGAAAAATTCTTTAAAAATAGGGATGTGCTTTAGAAAGGCTGTCAGGTCCTACTTAGAGTACAGCTCTTTTGTTGTGAGGAGGGAGGTGATGTAATAATGCTATAATCCTTCATAAAAATGTTTCCATTTTTTATAACTCCCTGAATACAAACCATGGGTTAGTTATCCATAACTAGGAAAAATAATTTTTTTAAAAAAACCTAAAACTCACCCAGATAGCACTCTAAAAGTCACTAAATAACAAAATTGAAGGTTTGAACTTTCATATCTTCATGATTTGAGTTCAGTACATTTCCCACACTAAGTATGAAATTATTTAGAATGAAGAAAAGAAAGAACCATCCTGCTAAACTGCCTTTGTTAAAAATTTCAGATGAGTTAAGAGGAGGAAAAAAAGGCCCACTGGTAGATGAACCTTGGTGCCTCTGTTCTCCAAGGGTTTCCCGTCTAAGATCTATAGATCTCTGGGAAGGAAAAGTAGCACAAAAATCATGGATGATGGGTAAATGGTTCTGGTGGAGAAAATACTATAGCAAGTCGACTGCTTATTATTGACTACCATAATAATGGAAAGATCTTTCACAAAAGGAAGTGAGCACCTAGGTAACCTCGTTACCACTCTCAATTTCAGAGGTTTATTTCTTTAAAATTCTTCTAAACATCAGCATCCCCATGAACTATGGTATCTTATAAGTGGGTGATTTTTCTTCTCCCCCAGTTTCCTATTAGGGATGCCATGGATTTTTTCTGTGCTGTTAAACTTCATTGTTCCTATTGACAGACAATAGCTACTACGAGCAGAACAGGACTCTACAGATATCAATACGCTATTAACTATGGCAATGTTAAAACGTCAAAAGTCCCTCTCACCTTAGAAATTCTCAACCTGGTAACTTGACGTGTAAAATACTTCAATCACTCAGTGGACACCACCCCACAGGATGTCAGTTCTCACCTTAGTTGTATATTAGGGTCATTTGAGGAACTTTTCAAAAAAATTCCTTCTGTCCTAAACCCATTTCCAGAGACTGTGATGTAGTAGGTATGGGGTTGAGCCTGGCCACCCTATATCATGAACACAGCTAGTTTTAATGTGCGGCCAGAGTTGAAAATCACTGTTATATGAAGAACCGGAGTGTTCCACGAATGAACAGAGTCACAAAAACATCTTCGTTATTCTTAATCCCCTAGGCTTTGTGACATTGCCTTATAATTATGTAAGAAACAAAGAGAGTGGAGAAATAAAATTGTGTCTCATTTCATGTGGGTATCTGTGGTTTTAATTAGCACCAGTTCTATCATGGTCAGCTCTGAATGGTTCTCCACATTTTAGTGTTTATAAGCATTCACTTTCCACTATCCTTCTGTAAATTATAATGCCTTGTATTTTATTTTTATTTATTTATTTATTTTTGAGACGGAGTTTTGCTCATTGCCCAGGCTAAAGTGCAATGGCACGATCTCAGCTCGCCACAGCCTCCACCTCCCAGGTTCAAGTGATTCTCCTGCCTCAGCCTCCCGGGTAGCTGGGATTACAGCCATGTGCCACCACGTCCAGCTAATTTTGTATTTTTAGTAGAGACAGGGTTTCACCATGTTGGTCAGGCTGATCCCAAACTCCTGACCTCAGGTGACCCACCTGCCTTGGCCTTCCAAAGTGCTGGAATTACAGGCGTGAGCCACCGCACCCAGCCAATACCTTGTGTTTTATTATTCAGATCCCAACCAAAACCCAAGGGAAAAACACTAGTATTTTTTTCAGTATGATCATTTTAAACTATCTTGTATAATTTTTCTGGTTCCCATAACCACATCATTTTGGTGAATTCATAATCTGTTTGTTTTCTATATCAAATATGTGGCACCTACAAATATCATTCTGAGTGTGTGAAAGTTAGAAGAGGAAAGTTAGAATAATTATGTTTGAATTAATTAGGTTAGTGTAGCTCGCGTGGACAGGCATATGGTTACGGTTTCCCTCCAAAATTTTGTACATAAATCAGGAATTATTCTATGGTGTCCATTCTTTCAAGATGTAAGGGAGATGGTACAGTTCAGGTATTCTAAACAGGAGTGAATATAGCCATCTCCCACCAAGAAGGAATACTGAGAGTTGCCAACTAGCACAGGTAGCTCCCAGTACTCAACAACTCCACATCTGTATTTAATATTAAATAATGGAAATGAGGAAAAAACGAATTCTTTCATAAGAATAACATAATCCCCTAAAATCCTATAGCAGAAAATCTGATATTAGTTTACATAGTGAAACTAATATCCAACTAACCATAGATGCCCCTGAGTATTTTTCCAGGGATAATATTCATGGCCCTGGCCTGAGGTTTTCCTTTTATATTTATGTAGCACAGACCTCTTGGGATCTTGAGAACTGTAGCATGTAATAATCAAAAGAGAGGGTGTAATTTTCTTCAACCTATTAAGAGGAAACATGTCCCTGAGAATTAAATAGAACACAATTTGTAAAGTTTGTTTTTAATTATGTACTACTTAGACCCTTGGAATGAAGTCCAAATTGCCCACATTTTTCAAATGATTTGTTTTTGTGCAATAGAGAGCCTGAGTCTGGGTATTGTACTTACCCATTTACGTCACTATTTTAGTATTTTCATTTCCTGTTCTGTCCTGCTTAGAATTAGACTTAGTTAAGAAGGACTTGAGTAGCAGCAGATAACCTCACTGTAAATAATTAATAGTTCTCTTACAAATTTATCTATAATAAAATCTCCAAAACCATCAAGCAGTTATCTCTAAGAATGATGCTAGAAGACCTACTAAACATTCAACATGTAACACTGCCATGGAAATGCATTAAAGGGATATTAAGTTTTTTAATGTTTTAACATTGCTATCTGCACCATGCAAAAATAGATAAAATGCTTTTAACGATTTATCAACAGAGAAGAAACAAAACATGGAAACACAACTGAGTAGTGTCTGACATTTGCATACCATTCAGTTTTGATTACTTCTTTCTAAATTTAGCACATTGGCAGGTGCACATCTTTTCCTGGCTTTGCTGGCATATCATGTTGGTTCTACCACAGTCATTTAGTTTTAGAATCACCTGTTTAACTTCTGGCCTGATCTCATTGCGGTGACAAATCACACTTTCTGTGTAGAGGGTTAGAATAAACACTCAACTTGGACTTTTAAAATTCTGCTCTTTGAGAGACTTCACAGTTGATTTCTTTTAGTATCTGATGGTGTCGGACACAATGTTTCTAGAGGCACAATTACAGGCTTGATTCTGTTTATTATCGCATCAGTTCTTCAGAATGCTGTCAGCAAGACTGCTAACATTTAAAGATTGAAGCTGAAGTACTCATTTTACCCATAGCAGAAACTTCTTACTTGTAAAGCGAAATATAAATTACTTAATTAGAATTTCTTGGAAAGTATCGGCAAAGATGATGTTTCTTAAAATGAATCAGAAAGAAAAAATTACACTGTGCCCTGCTTCTTCCTGCCCATTCTTGATAGACCATGTGTATCTTCACAGCGCTCTTCAACCTCATTCCAGTGGGACTGCGTGTTGTTGCCATCCAGGGAGTGAAAACAGGGTTGTATATAGCCATGAATGGAGAAGGTTACCTCTACCCATCAGTAAGTAAGACGCCAAAGATCTTGGCCATTCGTTCAATGCATGTAAAAATAACAATGGCAGCAACGAAAAAAGTTCTGTATCTATTGTTTCTGCCAGTTTTTGCCTTAGTATTCCATCTTTGCGAGAATGCTTAGAAGCTGCTTATTTATCATTCATCAATGTTTAGTAATATGAGTTTATCTAAAGGAAGTGTGATACTATGTCTTAAACAGTGATTTTGCCATAGTTTAAACAGCAACCTAGTTTACACGTGAATCGAATGTTTTGTATTTCTAGTTAGAGTTTCTTGTACATTTTTTTAAAAGAAACAATACGCATTCTAAAAAAAGAGAGAAAAGTAAAAGGAGAGTGTTTTTAAAATAAGAATTCAAAGTGTGTGGATATTTTATTGAAAAAATAACTACTTATAATATTGAAATGTGTATCTCTTGCAAGCCTTTGTGTTTTATGGTAATATTTATTGGAAGCTGAGCACTTTTCTAGCCATATGGCCTCTTCTGAAATATTTTCTATTTACAGCTAATTTGCACTCAAATATGCTGTATTCATGCATATAATGTAGTTAGAATTCATTTCTGCCACAGGTTTAAGCAGTAAAGACTCTAGTTAAAGGTGCTTTTTTCTATTATCCCTTGAGCAAAAATCGATGAAGTCTTAAATGTATTAAAATATGCTCTTACGTGTCATCCTCATGTAAATTCTTTAAAACTCTGTCATTGTTAAATATCACCACCAAAAAAACTATAGGTAAACATACACACACATTTCGTGTGTGTGTGTGTGTGTGTGTGTGTGTTTGTGTGTGTGTGTGTAACTTAAACGGAAACATTCTCCAGGGGGCCTCCCAGAAAATGTAATCTATTTTCTTCAGTCAATTTGGGAAATCCTATCACAGGAAAATGAAGTTTGAGTTGTGGATTCCCTTCACGGTGAGCTCAAAAGTGCTGGCTCTTCTTATTCTTGAGCCTTCAATCTGAGTTCCCTGAAGGGTGTCCCCGCACGCAGAACTGGGTCCCACATTATGCAAATTGTGTTCTCTAGCACAAGATAAATATGCAGCATGTTGCCAGCAAGATCAAGCTAGAATTCCCTATGTTCCCTTTAGAAAAAATTAAATACAAAAAGGATCGCTTCCTAGAGATACTTTATTTTCAGATACAACTCAATCTTGTTGATTTGGAATTTGCTCTGTTATTTTTGTTTCTTTATTTTCTTCCCAAGTGATATTTTAGAGGCCTCAACATTATTAGATGCAATGTCTGCTGTAGCTTCTAGTTCTACTTTCTGTTAATAATTGCATCACAGTGCTGTACTCTGATACATATGTTGATGACAGGGAAATTGAAATGTTTGTCTTATCTTTGTGCTGCTGATAGAGTTGCTTTTCATTTTTTTTTTTTTTTTTTTTTTTTGTCATGAGGTTGTAAATGTATGCCATTCTTTTTTAAAGGTAGGGTATATCATTCTGAGTATGTGTCTAAGCCTAAAATAAAAGTCCTGATTATGCTTGGTGCAGGCTAAGCATCAGGAATAGAAACAAGAAATGCGTTAACTGCCAAGTCTGGTCGCCTGCATTTTGAATACGGTTTCTGCACGCAGGAATCAGATCTCATGAGGGTCACTGAGGGCAATAGCATTTGCCCAGGGTGAGTCCCAGGAACAATTTCAGCTTATTACTGGGTGTGTTGTTCTCTCCTCTCCTCCTTCCTTCTGATTCTCCAGTTGCTTGGCTTCCAGGCCTCCCCTTCGGTGTCTTTATTTTCTGATTTACAGATGTTGGTTTTCTCCTCTTCCCATCCTTGACTCCTTGCTCTGAACCCAAAGTCTGCTAAGAGGCACAGTTTACTCAGCCCCTACCCTAACAGATCTCCTCTGCCTAAGCCAGGCCCCGGTACGCCTTAGCCATCTTTAGAAAGAGAACTTAGATAAAAACCAAAAGCAATTACGAATCTGTATTAGTACCTCCTAATTAAACTGCTCTGTTTATTTCAATGTAAAAAATTTTGAACTTCAAATATTTCAGTACAAATAATGTTTATCTGCAAGTATTTATTCCATAATTTGTTACTGAGGCCCTACTAAAATAGTAATATAGAGCAAATATAGCAATTATTATCCTATATAATGATAATAGCTATACCTACACAATAACAATAGTGGTGATATTTGTACAATCCACTCTGCCTAGCACTGTTCTAAGCACTTTACCTGTATTAGCTCATTTAATTATCCCAATAACGTTTTATAAGCAAATATTATTAAAATAAGGACACTGATAATACAGAGAGTTTAAGAATCTGTCCAGAGTCACTCGGGTAGCAGATAGAAAAGATAAGATTGGAGCATAGTTAGTATGACTCATTAGCTTACATTTTTAACTGTTTTATTGTACTGCTTTTATGTGCCAGACATTTTTTCATAATACGGTCTGACACCTTTTCTAACAAGAAGTTATAAACACATTATGATGTAATGAAAAACTTTAGGGAATTTTTACCTAGGGAATAAACTGTATTTCAGTGAAATTATTGAGAAGTATAATTTCAAACATAATCTGTTTCCGTTAAAGATTTTTGAGTAAAAATTAAAACCATAGAAAATTTGTCAAGAAAAAGTTTGATGTCGTATAAGGGGTATTAAATATTTTTGGTATTTATTACATTTAACATTTGAGCTTTAAGTTTTAAAAGCCATGAGAAAAGTTGTTAACTAAGAAGTTTTGAACTAAAATGAGTACATTTTTGAAAAAATGACAACTCCAGTCAAGCTCAGATTTAACAAAAAAAGTTAGTGGAGATTTAAATTTGAGAAATAAATTCATCCATTTTAAGCTATGCCAATTCTTTAAAAAATTAATTTAATTTGTGTGCAGTGTAAACTAGTGTCTAATATGGAATTGATGTTTTTGAAGATCCATAGGTTTAGATGTAGTCAATAAAATACTAAGATCATTTCAGTTGAATTCTGGTGAATGAATATCACAACGGTGATTTGACTTGAGGTGTATCTTCCTCTATTTTTATTTCGGGAAGTAACTATCATAGTCCTTTGCTATCCAAATAAGATATTTAATGTGTCAGATAATTCCATCTTCTGGAGACAGAAAAAAAAAGTACTTGACTGAGATGTAAGTTCCCATTTCCAATGCTAAAGGTGCCTGTTCTCTGGGGGATTTTTCTTCAATATGACAGTAGTTATTTCTTTTGTGTTCCTATTGATTGCAATATAGTACTTGATATTGTATTACAGGAGATTTAATGTCAGATACAAGTCATTTGATTGAAGGTACAGTGTGGGCTACAAGGACACAGAACGGAAACAGGCAGAGTAATAATTCTGCCCAAAATTAGACAGTTTAAAATGATATTTGTGAACAAAAATGTACTTTAACCACCTATAACTATTTCTAGTGCTGAGAGAAGCAGTCAAGTTTTTTGTTTGCTTGTTTGTTTTCCAAACCTGTGACTTTTGAAAGACTAACAAAATCCTCCATAGAAAGCCAAGGTTTGGAATGTAAATTGTAAACAATAAGGAAAAACTGGGAATGAAAGGAAAACGTCATTCGTCATCAGGGCAGGGATAAAGGATAGTTGAAGTGAGAATGTGTTTCTGGCATAAGAAAGATGGAGAAGAAAAAAAAGGATGGAAAAGAGACTGATAATACAGTGAATAAATCTCTAGGCTTTATTCCAAACACCTGGGTCCTGGATCTGACAACCAATACCTGTGTTAAGACTTCCTAATCTCTCCTAGTCTGTCCCCTCATCTGTCAGATTACAGGATTTCTCTTGAATCCTTAATTCAAGAGAATTAATTGTGAGATTTAGAATTCTGGTTTTAGTCTGATTGATTTTTCTGAATGATAAGGTAATTTTACATAAAATGCATAAAGATTCATTATTGGTATTTTATCACAGGCTGGCATTTATGAGAATATTATTTTCCTCCTGGTGCCATAAATTCTTCCATGTTCTAGGTGCAGGCATCTGGGCGGTCGTAAGTGCCAGTGTTCTCCTGAAATTAGCATCTCATCTGGGTCTGTTGACCAGATTGTATAAGTGGAGAGAAAGATAATCCCTTTTCATGTTAATTTTAAAAATAAGCAAGTAAAGTGCACGGCTACCATGTTTTGCAAATATTAGGGCTCACGCGAATCACCTGGAAAGCCAAGAAAAGTATAGATTTCTTGGATCACCCTCTAGATATTTTAGTTCAGTGGGTCTAATGGGAGGCCCAAGAATCAACAGTTTTTAAGGGTCACCCTCCCTCACTTCTGCTGGTTGTTCTAAAGTTACTATTTCAACCGTGGACAACCACACAACAAGCATTGCTGCAATGGTCTCTGGGGGAGATGGTGATAATGTTAGACCAAGGTGATGGTAACAGAGTTGGTGAAAATCAGTAAATGGACTACCCAGGCACTGAAACTAAATATTTGGATTTTCTAACTTTTCTACCACTAAGCTGAGGTTTACAGAAGTTTGAAAGCAGACCAGCATACTTCTTAACTTATGCAACAACCCAGAACTTCTGGAATAGGGGCTGGTCACCTCTGTGGGCTGGCATTACCTCTCCTACCTATCGATATAGGATGAATATGTATATATGTGTGTTACTTATTCAAGGAAAGCAAGATAAATGCTATGTATTCCTCAAAAAGCATTTTCAAGGTCCTCAAAGTCTTATCCACTCAACGTAAGATAGTGTTCTGATACCGTATCTTTCAGGAGCATTTTCAAATGAGCGTCTTCTACAAAAGTGGTTTCACCTGCCCTCCTCTGTGCCAGCAGGCTTCTCTTATTGATGTGTCCTGAGTTGTGTTTCTGTCTGTCCTTAGCTTTCCAAGGGCACCCAGGCATGAAAGCATCCAAGCTACCCACCTCATCCTTCCATGAACTGTTCATCTTCTTGCAGGATCCACAATTCTAGCAAAACAAGGTGGAAAAATGTTAATTTCCTCTTGACATTTATTTCTCTGTTCATTGCTCAAGTTTAGGGT